GGGGACAGGGACAGGGACAGACAGGGACAGGGACAGAACACGGGACAGGGGACAGGGACAGACAGGGGACAGGGACAGACAGGGACAGGACAGACAGGGGACAGATGGGACAGCCAGGGACAGGGACAGGAGACAGGGACAGACAGGGGACAGGGACAGGGGACAGACAGGAGACAGAACACGGACAGGGACAGGGGACAGACAGGGGACACAAACGGGACACAAACAGGGGTCAGTGGACACAGGGAGGTGACAGGGAGGGACAAAGGGGACAGTGAGAGGACATCGTGGACAAGGACAAGAACACCCCACACCCAAAGTACCCTCCCCATGGCCCTTGGGGACAGCCCTGTCCCCACTGCCCCCTCTCCCAGTGCCACCACAATGTCCCCACTGCCCCTGATGTCCCCCACTGCCCCTGATGTCCCCAATGTCCCTGATGTCCCCAATGTCCCCATGTCCCCACTGACCCCTGTCCTTGAGGGTCAGCACCAGCGTTTGTCCCTCGGGGATCGAGGCCGGGTCGTGCTCCACCGTCAGCCCCTGCAGGTCCCGGGCACTGTAACGTTCCTGGGGGGCACAGGGGGGTCACTGCCTGTCCCCACGCTGTCCCCAATGTCCCCACGCTGTCCCCAGTGTCCCCAAGCTGTCCCCAGTGTCCCTCACCCTCCGGCGCCGCTGGAACTCCTCCTCCCACCAAGGGGCTGACCCCGAACTCCTGGTCCCATCTCCTCCAGCAGCTTGGCCTGCAAAGCCCCCAGTGACACCAGTTTGGGACACCAGGGGACACCAAGGGACACCCAGGGACGCCCCCAGCCCCATCCCAAAGGAAGGAAACCTGAAGTTTCTCATCAGCAGAAAAACGACCCCAAAAATTCCCATTTTTGGCTCAGAACTTGGCAACAAACCCAAGGGAAATGCTCCCAAATCCTTCAGGTTTAATGGGGTTGTTTGGGGATGCTCTTAAAAATCGGATTTGACCTTAAAGCGATTCCAAAATGCCTGAAAATTGAGGTGGAAGCAGAATTTTGGGGTCAAGATTTGTGATTTTAGCACCGTGCTTGAAAAGTTTACTGCAAAAAGCAAAAATTTAAGGCCTCAAGGCTTCGTTTTCAGGGGAGGTTTGAGGGAATAACCCTAAAAAATCACATTGAGCGGTAAGAATTCTTAAAAATTGGGATGAAATCTAAATTTTAGCCTTCAAATTCCCGATTTTAACCCAAAAACTTAGTTCAAAAGAAAGATTTAACGCCCAAAATCTTTAATTTTTAGGAAATTATTAACTAAAAAACCTTGAAGTTTAACCTAAATTTCAGGCAGCTCCACAATTCCCAAAACCTGGGACAAAATCAGGATTTTAGGTGGGAAAACCCATAAAAAATCCCCTAAAAATCCAAATTTTATGCTGTAAAATTGGGGTAAAAACGCCGGTTTTGGACTGAAAACTGGGGGGGATTTGGGGTTTTCTGGGATTTGGGGTTTCCTGGGGTTTTGGGGTCCCTTCCCACCCTTTTCTCTGCCAGCTCCTTCTCCCTCTGCAGCGCTCGGCTGCGCTCGATCCACGCGGCCGCGTCGTCCAGCCAGGGCTCCTCCTCCCCCAGCGTCTTCCACCTTCCTTTTTGGGGCAAAAAAAAAGACATTTTAGGGTCCTCACAAATGCCTCAAATCAGCCCCGAATCCCTAAAATCCTCCTGGGTTTTCTCGGCTTTTCAAAAATTCCAAGTTTTTCTCGATATTCATAAAGATTTTTACTTGGATTTGAAAATTTTACCCCAAAATATTTTTTGTGCTTCCTCAAAAAAAATTCCTCAAGTATTTTCTGTGCCCTAAAATTCTGTCCCAGGACAGTCTTAAAATCTTCCCTAAACCTTTCCTATTCCCCAAATGCCATCCTGGCCCCCCAAAATTCCCCTGAGAACCCCAAATCCCCCCTGGAATCCCCCAATTCCTTCAAAACCCCCTCTCAGCTACCCCCAGAATTCCCTAAACACCCCTCAGATCCTTCCAATTCTTCCCCAAAGATCCCAAATTCCTTCTAAATCCCCCCAAATCCCCTCCCAAGCCCCTCAAACCCCCCCAATTCCTTCCAGACACCCCCAAACCCCTTCCCAGCTCACCAAAAATCCCCTAAACCGCCCCCAAACCCCCAAATCCCTCCCCAAATCCCCTCCCAATCCCCCAGCCCCCAGCCAGCCCCCCAAAAATCCCCTAAACACCCCTCAAAATCCCCCAATTTCTCCCCAAACACCCCCAAATCCCCTCCCAGTCCCCCAAAATCCCTTAAAGAGCCCCCCAAACCCTCTCCTAAGCCCCCAATTCCTCCCAAACCCTCTCCTAACCACCCCAATTCCTCCCAAACCCCCTCCCAGCCCCCCAAACCCCCTCCCATTCCCCCATTCCCGTACCCCAGTTTCTGGTTCAGCAGCCGTTTCTCCTTGGCCGCCGCCAGCTTCTCGCGGATTTCCTCGCGCTGACCCGCAGCGCCAGGGGATTGATCACCTCGGCTGCCACCGGGTCCTCCTTGGTGCCTGCCTCTGCTCCAAACCAGCCCAAAATCAGCCCAAAAATCGGTCCAAAATCAGCCTCAAAATCGGGCGAAAATCAGGCCCAAATCAGGCCCAAAATCAGCCCCAAAATCGGTCCAAAATCAGCCCAAAATTGGCCCAAATCAGACCCAAAATTGGCCCAAAATCAGCCTCAAAATCAGACCACAATTGGTCCAAAATCAGACCAAAATCGGTCCAAAACCAGGCCCAAAATCGGCCCAAAAATCGGGCCAAAAACAGCCCCAAAGTCAGCCCCAGGGCACCCCAAAATCAGTGAAATCAGCCCCAAAATCAGGCCCCAAATCAGGCCAAAATTTGCCTCAAAATCGGCCCAAAAGCAGGGCAAAATCAGCCCCAACGTCAAACCCAAAATCAGACCCAGGGCACCCAAAAATCAGCCCCAGGACACCCCCAAAATTTGCCCTAAAAGTCCCAAATCAGGCCCAAAATTGGTCCTGAAATTGGCCCTAAAATGAGGTGATAAATCAACCACAAGATGGCCCAAAGTACCCCCAAAATTGGCCCTAAAATGAACTGTGAACATCCTGAAATCAGGCCCAGGAATCAGCATCAAAATTGGCAAAAACAACCCCAAAATCAGCCCTCAAATCAGCCCCCTGGGCCCCCCTAAAACCAGCCCAAAAATGAGCCCCAAGCCCCCCAAAATCAGCCCCAAAAAACCCAAAATGCCCTAAACTCCCCCAAATTCCCCTCACCTTTCTTGGCCGTGCTGGTCTCCAGGGGCTTCAGTCCCAGTTTGGGCCCGGAGCTTACTGGGAACCACAAAAGGGTCAGGGGGGTTCCAGGGTGGGGGACCCCAAATTTGGGGGATTTGAGGGAGGGGAAACCCCAATTTTTGGGATATTTGGGGTGGGGAAACCCCAGTTTTGGGGGATTTTGGGGGGGGTCCTCACTTGGTTTCTTCCACGCTCAGGGAGGATTCGCCTGCTGCAGATTTGGGAGCAGCTGTGAGGGGTAATCAAGAAATTATTAGTAATTAATTGGGGGGGGAGCTCCTCTGGTACCCCCTGAGGTACTGCCCCAGCCCAATACACTCATGGGCCCCAAAATCTCCCTTTTGACCCCCAAAATCCCCTTTAACCCCCCCAAAATTCACTTTAAATCTCCTCAAGTTCACCCTTAACTCCCCCCAAATCCCTTTTAACCACCACAAAATCTCCTTTAATCTCCCAAAAATTCACTTTAATTCCCCAAAATTCTCTTTTAACCTCCCCAAAATTTACTTTTAACCCCGCAAAGTCAACTTAAAATCTCTAAAATTCCCTTCAGCCCCTCCAAAATCCCTCTGGGGTCTCCCCCATCCACAGCTGCACCCCCCGAAAACCCAAAATTCCCCCAAATTCTCCCCAAATCCCCCAGGCCCCCCCAATTTTTTCCCCTCCCCGCCCTCACCGGGCTCCTCCCGCTCCTCCTTCCTCTCCCTCTTGGCTCTCCGCTCGTTCTCGGAGCCGCCCCGCCATGGCCGCTCCTCCCGGCCTCCTCGGCCCCTCCGCGCCTCGAGGAACCGGAGCCTCCCCCGGAGCCGCCGCGCTCTCCCCGGGAGCGGCTGCGTTTCCCGCGCCGCTCCCCCGCCACGGTGCCGGTGCTTTCGGTGCTCGCGGGGCCGCCCCGCGCTGCTGCTGCTGCCGCCGCCGCCCGTCCCGGCCGCCCCCGGGGCCTCCTCGGCCGCTTCGGTCCCACCGCGCTCCCGGTGCTTCTTCGAGGCGCCCATGGCCGCCCCGCCACTTCCGGGAGAGAGCGGGACTTCCGGTGGTTGCCATGGAGGCGCTTCCGGTGTTCAGCTACTTCCGGTGGAGCGCGGTGCTGATTGGTCGAGGTGTAGGCGGGACTTGAGGGGGCGCTGTGGGATGAACCATTATGCGCGCAGAGGGGTGCGCAGAATGAGCAGGATGGTTGTAGCGCCGTCCTGTTCCCCCACAGAGGGCTGGAGACCTCCGTAAGAGGCACCGGAGATCTTCCAACACTGTTTCCATTGAGGAGACCCCGTGCGGGCCGCCTGGTGGGGGGGGGGCTCCGTATATAGCGCACCCCCGGGGCACAACAAATGGTGGCGCCCAGCAGAAATCAAAAGAGCCTTTAAAAACACCAAAATGGCGGCCGTTTGGGGTGCGGCAAAATGGCGGTGCATGGGGGGACCCCGAAAAGGACAGGGGTGCAGACAACGTTCCAGGAGAAAAAATGGGCTCGACTCCCATAACTGGCGTCCCGCTGAGCCTTGGTGCGAATCACCGACTCCAAAACGCGCCCTCCGGGGCTCTGTCCCGCCCCGTTCGCCCCCGGGCGCTTCCGGGCCCCCCCCGCCTCGTGCCCTTTGATCCGCCCGGTGCGGGCGCCTTGGCGGCGCCGGGGGGAGGGGCTGAAGGCGTGGCCACCTCAAAGTGGGCGTGGCTTTCGCGGAATATAAAAGGCGCCGCCGAGCCCCTCGCGCCCGTCACGAGGACTCGGCGAAGGTACCGCCCGCCCTGAGGGGCTCTGGGGGAATTTCTGGGGGACAAAAACAAATTTGGGGGCCCCGTGAGAATTTCGGGGTGTCTGGGTGGGTTATTTGGGTGTGCGCGAAAGGCTCGAGATCCCCTCCAAGGTTGTTTAAGGAAGGGCTGGGGAGGGCCCCGAGGCCTGGAAGGATTTTGGGGCGTCCTGTGAGGGATTTGGGGTCCCCAGGGTGGTGTTGGATGCTCAAGAGGAGCTTAAAACCCCATACAAGAACCTTTTAGCTTGACCAGGGGATTTCTAGAAAGACATTGAGGAGTTTTTGGGGTGTGGGGAGCATGCCTGGGTCTCTTTTAAGAGCCTTTCCCATCCAGGGGCAAAGTCGGGGTTCAAAGATTCCCCCTTGAGGCTCTTTGGGGTAAAAGTTCAACCCCGCCCAAATTCTTTTGGGGCGATCCCTGAAGGTTTTGGGCTGATCCCCTGAAGGGTTTTTGGGGCGATCCCTGAAGGTTTTTGGGCTGATTTTTGGGGTGACCCCTGAAGGGTTTCGGGGCAATCCCTGACGGTTTTTGAGGCGATCCCCGAAGGTTTTTGGGGTGACCCCTGAAGGCTTCGAGGCGATCCTTTTTGGGGCGATCCCCGAAGGCTTTTGGGGCGATCCCCGAAGGCTTTTGGGGCGATCCCCGAAGGTTTTTGGGGCAATCCCTGAGGATTTCGTGCTCTTTTCCCCAGATGGATCCCGAGTCTCCGCCCCGCGAGCTGGAGCTGTCGGCGCTGGAGGCCGAGAAGGAGCCGATGGCGGCGGCGGCCGAGCCCGAGCCCGGCTCCCCCCCTCAGCCTCCCCCTCCCCACCGCGACCCCACCCCAGCGCCGGCCGCTGCTCCGGGCGGGGAGAAGAACGGGCTGGTGATGAAGATCCCGCCCGAGGAAGAGGAGGAGGCGGCTTTGGGGGGCTCGGGGGTTTCAGGGAGCCCCAAATTCACGGGGCTGGGCAAGGAGGAGCTGCTGAGGGAGGCGGGGACGCCGCTCTGGGCCCGGGCCCGCCTGGTGCTGCTCGTGCTCTTCTGGGGGGGCTGGCTCGGGATGTTGGGCGCCGCTGCCGCCATCGTGGCCCAGGCCCCCCGGTGCCAGCCCCTGCCTGCCAAAGCCTGGTGGGAGCTCGGGGCGCTCTACAGGGCCCCCCCAAAGGCGTTTGGGGGCGATCTGAAAGGTGAGGAGGGGTCTGGGGGGAGTTTACAGGGTCCCCAGAGGGGTGGAAGGATCCCAAAGGATGGCTGGGGGGTCCCATGGGGGTTTTGGGGGGGTTTAGAGGGTCCCCACCTCTACTTTAGGGGGGGTTCCAGGATCTCCAAAGTTTTAGGGGTCCCCGAAATCTTGGGAATTTTGGAGTTTCCCCCAATTCTGGGATGATTCTGGGATCCTTGAGGACTTTGGGACCCCTGGGTTGGTTTTTCGGGTTCTGAGGGTGGGATTTTGGGGTCTCAGGGAGGGATTTTGGGGTCCCCAGCAGCGTTTGGGATCTCTTTGGTGCTCCTGGGAGGATTTTGGGGTTGTGCTGTGTGGTCAGATTTGGGGTTCACCCCCTTGTGCAGGTGTGGAGAAGCGTTTGGGGTACCTGAAGGAGAAGCTGCAGGTGGGGGGGCTGGTGCTGGGCCCCGTGGCCCCCCAAAAACGCCCCGAGGATCTGATCCCCCCCCTGGAGGAGCTGGACCCAGACCTGGGCACCATCCAGGACTTCAGCGCCCTCCTGCAGGCAGCCAAGGACAAAGGTGGGGCTGGGGGGGACCCCAAAACCGGGAGGGACCCCACAGAATTGGGGGGGGGAGCCCCAAAATGTGAGGGGTTCAGAATTGGGGGGGACACCCCAAAATTGAGGGGGGGTGTCTGAATTTGGGGGTTCCCAGGGTTGGGTGATTGAAGGGGATCCCCCAAAAGGGGATCCCCCATAATGATGGGGGGTTTATAACTGGTGGGGGGGGGTGTGTCTGTGGTGCTGGGGGGGTTTGGGGGTGCCCTGACCCCCCCATTTTCTCCCCCCCAGGACTGAAGGTGATTCTGGACCTGACCCCAAACCCACTGGGGATCGGGTCTGGGGGGATGCAGCCAAGGACCCCAAAGTGCACCAGCAGGTCCAGGTGGGTCTGGGGGGGCTCTGGGGATTGGGGGGGCTCTGGGGGGGGGTGGGGGATTTGGGGGAACCCCCTGACCCCCCCTGTGCCCCCCAGGCTGCCCTGAGCCGTTGGCTGAAGCAGGACATTGCTGGGATCTTCCTGGATGGCATCGAGGAGCTCCCGGTGAGGGGGGCAGGATTTGGGGTGAATTTGGGGCTTTTTGGGGCAGGATTTGGGGTGATTTGGGGGCTGGATTTGGGGTGAATTTGGGGCTTTTTGGGGCTGGATTTGGGGTGAATTTGGGGCAGGATTTGAGATGAATTTGGGGCTTTTTGGGGCAGGATTTGGGGTAGGATTGGAGGGGTTTGGGGCAGGACTTGGGGGGGGTTTGGGGCAAGAATTGGGGGGGGTTGGGGCAGGATTGGAGGGAATTTTTAGGGCAGAATTTGGGGGTTTTGGGGCAGAATTGGGGTTTTTTGGGGGGAGGATTGGAGGTTTTTTTGGGGCAGAACTGGGGGAGGTTGGGGGTAGAATTGGGGGAGGGAATTTTGGGGCAGAACTGGGGGATTTTGGGGGGACTCTGGGTGATCCCCATGTCCCCCCAGCCCTCGGTGGTGGCTGAGTGGAGGAACCTGACAGAGCAGGAGCCGAGCCCCAGCGGCGTGGCCAGGTCTGACCCCCAAAAATGTCCCCAGTGTCACCCCAAAGTCACTGACCCCCCCAAAAGTGTCCCCTGTGTCACCCCAGTGTCCCCCAAACTCCCTGACCCCCCCCAATCTCCTCTTCTCCTCATCCTCTGCCTCATGGAGCCCCCACCCACTTTGGGCTCCTTCCCCTGTTTTGGGTGCTGGGGGTGCCCCCCTGACCTTCCCCTCAATCTTGGGGTGCTCCCTTTTCCTCCCTCAATCTGGGGTGCTCCCCTTTTCCTCCCCTCAATTTTGGGGTGCTCCCTTGACTTTTTCTCCTTGGTTTTTGGTTGCTCCCCTGATTTTCCTCCCCATTTCTGGGGTTCTCCCTTGACTTCCCCCACCCCTGTTTTTGGGCTTCTCCCCTGATTTTTTTCTCCCCGTTTTTGAGGTGCTCCCCTTTTCCTCTCCTCATTTTTGGGGTGCTGTCTAAAATTAGATCTTTTCTATTTTGGGGTTCTCCTCTGACCTTTTTCATTCCATTTTTAGGGCTGCTCTGTTGATCTTTTTGCTTGCATTTTCGGGGCTCTCCCTTGACTTTCCCCCCCATTTTTGGGCTGCTTCTCTGACATTTTTTTGTTCCATTTTTTGGGTGCTCCCCTGACCTTTCCTCCCGTTTTTTGGTTGCTCCTCTGATTTTTCCTTCCGTTTTTGGGCTCCTCCCCTGACTTTCCCCCCATATTTTGGGGTGCCCCTGTTGTGTTTCCAGGGTGCTGGTGGGGGGCACCCCGCTGCAGGACCCTTGGCTGCTGCCCCAGATCCCGGGGGGGCTGCGCCTGCTCCTGGGGCCCTTCCTGCAGCCCCTGCAGCCCAAACCGGACCAGGAATCGCCCGAGGGAGCCGTGAGGAACCTGCTCACTTCCTCAGCTCCAACTCTTCCTCCGTGGGGCTGGCTGAGCGTGAGTGCGCAGCCCCAAACCTCCCCTGGGACCCCCAAAACCTCCCTGGGAACCCCAGAATCCCTTCAGGAGACCCAAAACCTCGCCAGGATCCCCCAAATCCCCAAAATCTCCCTGTGGGGCTGGGCTGGAGCAAGAGTGCTGCACCCCAAAATGCCCTCAGGACCCCCCAAAATCCCGTCAGGAACCACAAAACGTCCCTGGGAGCCCCCAAATCCCTCAGAACCCCAAAACCTCCTCGGGAGTCCTCAAAATGTCCTTGGGAACCCAAATCCCCCCATCCTCTGGGAATCAAAATAGGAACCCAAAACCTCCCAGGACCCCCAAAATCCCTTCAGGAGCCCCAAATCCCCCCAACCCTAAACCCCTGGCACCCCCAAATTCCCACCCCCCTGTGGGACCCTCCTGCACCCCCAAACCTCCCTGGGCCCCCTCAACTGCCTCCATCCCCAGGACCCCTAAACTGCCCCTGACCGAGCCCCCAAACATCCCCGGGACCCCCAGATTGCCCCCAGTGCCCACCTTCCTGCCCCCTCCCACTTTTTGGGGTTCCTGTCCCACAGGTGGGGGTCCCCCGTGGGAGTCCTGGGTGAGCCCCAGCCTGAGGCTGCAGCAGCTGCTGCTGCTCTGGGGGCTCCCCGGGACCCCCGTGCTGAGCTACGGCGACGAGCTGGGGCTGCCCCGGCCCCCCAAAAACCAACAGGTACCAACAGGGGGGGGGAAGGGAGGGTTTGGGGGGTACAGGGGGGATTTGGGGGGCTGGAGGGAAGCTCTGGGCACCGGGGGGGTTTGGGGAGGGGTTTGGGGTTTTTAGGGGTGCAGGGGGAGGGGCTTGGGAGGGTGCCCTGACCCAAATTTGCCTGGGTTTAGCCCCATTTCCTTGGGTTTTGCTGTAATTTCACTGTCTGTGCCCCAGGTTGCCAATTTTTGCCCCAGTTTTGATGGGGTTTTAGCCCAAATTTTACCGTTTTTGCCCCAATTTCTCCGTTTTTTCCCCCAGCTGCCACCAATGCCGTGGGAATCCATCGAGGACCCGAAAAAGGCGGGGAACGGCTCTGAGGTGGGCGGGGCTTGGAGCTGTGATTGACATTAACTGGGTGGTGCTTGATGGGATGGGGCGTGGTTTATTTAAGAGGTGTGCCTTAGAGTGACCTCCCCTTTGGGGGTGGGTCTTCAATGTCCATTTATGGCTTTTAAGGGGTGGGGGGGTCGGTCACACCCATAGGTGGGCGGAGCCTTAGGGTGGGTCCCACAAGTGATAGCGCCACTACAGATTCTTAAAAGGGCAATGCATCTTTAAAAGGGCAACACATCCTTAAAGGGTAATGGGCTCTTAAAAGGGCAGCACACATTTAAAACGGCAATGTGTCTTTAAAAGGACAATGGACCCTTAAAAGGGCAATGCAATTTTTGAAATGTAATGTGTCTTTAAAAGGGCAACACGCTCTTAAAAGGGTAACGTGGTCTTGAAAGAGTAATGTGCCTTTAAAGGGGGCAACAGTCTTAAAAGGGCAACGCGCCTTTAAAAGGGCAACACCACCCGCTGCCTCCTTAAAGGGCCAGCGCCTCCTCTTTTCGGGGCTGCATTTGGGGGTGTCCCAGCCACCCCCCCTGATCGCAGCCCCCCCTGATTGCAGCCCCCGGAGCTGGAGCTGTGCACGGCGCTGGCCTCGCTGCGGGCCCACGAGCGCTCGCTGCTGCTGGGGGAGGCGCTGCCGGTGCCCGCGGGCTCGGCCGTGGCGCTGCTGCGGCGCTGGGACCAGAGCGAGCGCTTCCTGCTGCTGCTCAACCCCCACGGGGCCCCCCTCAAACCCTTCTCGGTCAAGAGAGACCCCCTGGACCCCCCCCTGCCCGAGTGGGCCACGCTGCGCCTCAGCACCGGCCCCAGGGAGCCCGGGGAGCCCCAGGTGCAGCTGCAGGAGCTCAAGGTGGGGCCCTACCAGGGGCTGCTGCTGGGCTTCCCCTACAGCCCCCAGTGAGCCCGGGCACCCAAAGCTGCCTTGACCCCCCCTCAGCACCCCAAACCCACCCTGACCTCCCCCAGCACCCCAAACCTGCCCTGTGGAGGACCCTCCTCCACAGCCATCCTTGCTCACCCTCACTTGGGGTCCCACATTCATCTCCCCTCTGTCTTTTTTTGGGTTTTGTTTTTCTCTCCCCAGCTCAGTTTTGGGGTTTTTTCTTTGTTTTCTGGGAGTATTGGGGTCCCCCGCCAATCTGAATAAATGAATTGCATTTGTGACCTTGGGTTTGTTTCGGTTTTTGGGGGGGTCTGAGGGTCTCCCCAGGATTTGGGGGTTTCAGAGACTCCCCAGGAGTGCCCCAAATGAGGGGGGAGGATTTGGGGCTCCCAGGGGAATGTTGGGGGGCAGGGGAACCCAAAGAGGGGCCCACAACACCCCAAAATGAGGGGGGTTGGATTTGGGAGCTCAAGGAGGCTCTTGGGGCTGTTGAGGGGGTAACCAAGGCCCCAAAAATGGGGGAAATCCACCCAAAATTTGGGCTGGGAGCCCCAGTTGGGGCCTCAGGGGTGACCCTGAGAATAGGGGACCCCCAAAATAAAGGGGTGGGGCTGGGGAGGTTTTGGGGAGGGGTCTCAAATCCTGTCGAGTTCTGGAGGGTTTGGGGGGGCCCTGAAGGGTTTGGGGAGGGGTCTCGGGGGTCCCTGAGGGGTTTGGGGAGGGGTCTCGGGGCCGGTTTGGAGCTCCTGGGGGTTGGGATTAATTTTTTTGCCCTTGCGCCTTTAAGCGGACCCCACCCTGCGAGGCCACGCCATTTCCGGGTAGGCCGCTCCCCGTTGCCCGGTAACCGCCTCTTGCCGGAAGTGACGCGCCGGAAGCGGAAGCGGCGCCATGAAGCTGCTGACCCACAACCTGCTGAGCTCCCACGTGCCGGGGCTGCGGCCCGGGGGCGGATTCCCCCTCCCGGATCGAGGTGGGGACGGCGCGGGGACCCCGGGGCACCGCGAGCGGCGGGGACACCGCGGTTCCGCCCCCCGGCAAGGCCCCGCCACCTCTGGCCGTTACCGGAACCGTTACCGGAGCCTTAGCGGTGCCCCCGTACCGGTTCCCAACTCCTCCCCGTTCCGTGATTCCAATCGGTCTCCTCATTCACCTCCCATCCCTCCCGTTACCTCCCCCGTTACCCCCGGTAGCTCCTCCGTTAACCCCAGGAACGCCCGGTAATTTGTCCCGTTACCGTCAATAAATCTCGTGTTAAATCCTCCCGTTAATGACCCCGTTTCCCGCTTGTTCATCTCGTTAACCTTCTCCGTTATCGCAGTTCCTCCCTTCCCATTATCCCCGTTCCTGTTATCACAGTCCCTTCCGTTATCCAGGTTCTCCTCCGTTATCCCCGTTCCCGTTATCCCATCCCTCCCCGTCATCCCGGTTCCCGTTATCCTCGTTCCCCTCCGTTAACGCCCCGAACCCCCATCCCGCCGCGGTTCGGCTCCGCCCGGTTCCTCCCCGTTATCCCCCCGTTATCCCCGTTAATCCCCTCGTTACCCTCACCAGCCGCCGGTAATTCCCCCGTTAATCCCCGCCCTAACCCCGTCCCTCCCGTTAACCCCCCCCAGTAACCGTTCCGCCCCTCCAGCCCCGTTAACCCCGCCGGTAACTCCCCCCGTTCCGCCGTTAACGCCGCCGTTAAAACTCCCGTTAACCCCCAATTTCCACCCGTTACGTGCCCCGGTTCCCCGCGGTTCCAGTGCCCTCCCGTTAACCCCCCCCGGTCCCCGCAGGCCGCCGAGGTTCGCGTCCGCCCGGTGCCGTTCAACGCCGCCTTCGTGTCCCGGTTGGTGCCGCGGCTGCGCTGGGACGCGCTCAGGGAGGCGGCGGAAAGCGTGAGCGGGGCAGGGAAACCGGGAACGGGAATGGGGGACCGGGAACGGAAGGGAAACGGGAACGGGAATGGGGGACCGGGAAACAGGAACGGGAACTGGGAACGGGAATGGGGGACCGGGAAACGGGAGGGGGGACCGGAAACGGGGGGGATCAGGAATGGGGGGGGCAGCGGGGGTCGGGAAGGGCCCATTTGGGGCGTCCAGGGAGAATTTGGGGGAATTTTGGGAGTTTGGAGAAGATTGGGGCATCTGGAGGGTTTTGAGCATTTGGAGGAGGATTTGGGGGTCCTGGGGGAGAATTGTGGGGATTTTGAGGGTGGGAGGGAAATTAGGGGGATTTTGGGGGGTCCTGGGGGGAATTTAGGAGGTTTTTGGAGATTTTTGGGATTTGGGGTCAATTTTGGGGGTCTGGGGGGGCAATTTGAGGGCACCAAAGGAGGGGGAGGTTTGGGAGGGGTCAATTTGGAGGGGGGGGGGAGGTCTCGGGTTTGGGGCTTTTTGGGGGGGGGGGGGTCCTCTGAACATTTTAGAATTCCCAAATTTGGGTTGAACTCTGAGATTTTTGGCACCCCCACAACTGCGAGGGTTCCTTATTTTGGGACATCCCATTTTTTTCGGGCTTGGGGGGCCCTCAGGGCTCCCCTCTGACCTCCCCCTCCCCTTTTCCTGTGCCCCCCAAAGTTGGGGCGCCCCTCGGAGCTGCCCCCCGAGCCCAGCCCGGGCTACGAGGCCGACGAGGAATTCCTGCGGCGCCTCCACCACGTCCTGCTCGAGGTCAGGGGGGTCCTCAAAACCCCTGAAACCCCCAGAACCCCTCGGGGGGGGTTCCCCAAATCTCGGGGACCCCTCAATTTTCCCTTTATTCCCCCCAATTCCACAGGTGGAGGTGCTGGAGGGGTCCCTGCAGTGCCCGGACTCGGGGCGGCGCTTCCCCATCTCCAGGGGGGTCCCAAATCTGCTCCTGAGCGAGGACGAGGCCTGAGGGGGCTCGGGACCCCCCCAAAATGGAGCTCAGCCCCTCCCCCCGAGGAAGAGCAGAAAAACCCCAAATTCCAATGGTTTTACCCCCAAAAATGGGGCCTGAACGTCACCCCGACGTTCAAGCGTTATGGGGCGTGGTTTCACTTTACCTCATTTGCATATAGGCGTGGTCATCGATACACCACTTCTCTATCAAATTATTATTTCCTTATTTGCATTTTGGGCGGGAATTTGCATAATGAGTGGGGAAATTCCCAGGTTTTGCCCCCAAATTCCCATTTTTTGCCTCCAAATTCCCTTTTTTTTCTCCCTAAGTTTCTCCTTCCCTCCCAAACTTCACAGTTGTGCCCCAAACCCTTTCTTTCTCAGAATTTCACCATTATTTTCTCCCCAAATTCCACTTTTTATCCCAAATCTTCCCGTTTTGCCCTGAATTCCTCTCCTTTCTCCCAGTTCCTCCCTTGTGCCCCCAAATTTGAATTTTCCTCCAATATCTCTTTTTTTGCCCTCATTTTTTATATTTTTCCACCAAATACTCCTTTATGCCAAATCCCTCCTTTTCACTCCTAAATGTTTTATTTCTATTCCAAATCTCCAGTTTTTCCCAAAATCCCATCTTTTATCCCCATGTTTCTCTACCCCACGTTCTGCCTTGTTGTATTTGTAATATTTCCCATCAATTCAATAAAATCCCTTTTTTTTGCCCGATTTTGGGCCGGAATCGCCTCTTTTGGGTCTCTTTGAGGATCTTCTCGGGGGAATCCTTTGGGATGGAGGGAAGGGGGTGGGGTGGGAGAGAATTTTGGTGCGCCCAGGTGAGCGTGGGAGCCTGGGAGAGGCCCGGAGCCGCTGGCCGGGAATTCAGAGGCTCGGGGATGATCCCGGAGGGGTTCCCGGGGTTCCCGGCAGCAACTGGAGCCATTTCCAGGTGTCCCCGCTCACCTGGGCGGACCCAGCAGGCCCTTGGAGGACCCCGGTTCGTCTCTATGATCCCAGAGCGCCTCCGAGCGCTTCCTCTCGGTGGTTTCCGGCGCACGCCAGCGGAAGTGGCGTCACACGGTGCGCCGCCGGATGTGACGTCAGTGCGCGGCGGCAGAGGCTGAGGCGGGAGCGGCGGTTGGAACGGCTCGACGGGACGGTGAGGGCGGGAGGGGATCGGGAGGGGACATTGAGGGCAGGGAGGGGACGGAGAGGACCGGGAGGGAACATGGAGGGGCGGGGAGGGGACATGGAGGGGCGGGGAGGGCCGGGAGGGGCGGGCAGGGGAGGGGCGAGAACGGCCCGAGGGGCGGGACGGGGCTGGAGGGGCGGACGGGCCGGGGTGTCCGCTCAGGATCCCCCCAATGTCCCCTTTGTGTTCCCCCAATGTCCCCTCAATGTCCACGCAGGGTTCCCCCACTGTCCCTTCAGAGTCCCCTCAATGTCCCCTCAGGCTCCCCCCACTGTCCCCTCAGTGTCCCCCTGAGCTGTCCCCTGAGCTGTCCCTGTATCCCCTGAGCTGTCTGTGTGTCCCCTCAATGTCCCCAGTGTCCCCTGTCTGTCTGCAGGCGCCATGTCCTCGACGTCACAGAAGCACCGGGACTTCGTGGCGGAGCCGATGGGGGACAAACCCGTGGGGAGCTTGGCCGGCATCGGGGACGTGCTGGGCAGGAAACTGGAGGAGAAGGGCTTTGACAAGGTAGGACTGGGGACAGGGGGGACACCTGGGGACACTGGGGACATTGGGGACACCACTGTCCCCTCATTGTCCCCTCCAGGTGTTCGTGGAAGGACAGGGATCTCCTGTGGCCACAGGGCTGGGGGGTGGGACCGGAGCTCTTTGGGATCGCTTGGGCAGGACCGGAGCACTTTGGGGTCACTCAGGAAGGACAGGGGGACCCTGTGTGCCATCCCCAGCCCCTGGTGACACAGCTGTCCCCTCCCTGTCCCCTCCTGGCAGGCGTACGTGGTGCTGGGGCAGTTCCTGGTGCTGCGCAAGGACGAGGAGCTGTTCCGGGAGTGGCTCAAGGAGACGTGCGGGGCCAACGCCAAACAGAGCCGGGACTGCTCGGGCTGCCTGCGAGTGGTGCGACGCCTTCCTCTGAGCCCCCTCCCCAAAAAAACAGCACCCAGGGCCCCTCCTCTGAGCCCCCTCCCCAAAAACAGCACCCAGGGCCCCTCCTCTGAGCCCCCTCCCCAAAAACAGCACCCAGGGCCCCTCCTCTGAGCCCCCTCCCCAAAAACAGCACCCAGGTCCCTTGAGCCCCCTCCTCGAAGCTGACACCCCCAGCCCCTCCCTGAGCCCCTCACACCAGCCCTGCAGCTCACTGAGTTCCCTGCACCCCAAATATCCTTCCTGTACCCCAAATCCCATCCCTGTACCCCAAATCCCATCCCTGAATCCCAAATCCCATCCCTGCACCCCCAAATTCCCCAAACTCCGGGGCAGTTCCAGCTGCTGCCAGGGACGCCTTGGAGAGGTTGGGAGCTCCCCAAAACCATCCTGGGGACCCCCCTGATTTCTTCAGGGACCCCAAAACCAGCCCAGGGAGCCCAAAACCATCCTGAGGACCCCAAAACCAGCCCAGGGAGCCCAAAGCCAGCTCTGGGGAACCCCAAAACCATCCTGGGGAACCCAAAATCCACCCAGGGACCCCAGAACCAGCTTTGGAGACCCCAAAACCCTTCCCAGTCCCACCCCCACACCCCTGAGACCCCCAAACCGGTGCTGCCACCCCCCTCAAAACTCCTCCAGGGGTGGGGGTCCCATGGTGCCACTCCTCCCCCATCACCCCAAAACCCCAAAACCAGCTGGGGAGGGGTGGGGGGGTGGGGGTCTCCTCCTGCCCCTCCCCCCAGCACGGGGTGGGATTTTGGGGGCTCATTTGAGGTGCCCCCCCTCCCCCACTCCCTTAGTGTTATTTTGGGGTGTCCCCCCCCCTCCGCCCACTGGGGGTCTGTGTTATTTTGGGGGTGCTGCCTCCCCCCCCAGTTTGTTTCTAAAATTATTTTCTAAACAATAAAAGGTTTTGCTGTGCTGCAGCTGGGACTCGTCCTGGAATTTTTGGGGGGCGGGCACGGGGAAGGATTTTGGGGGATCTGGGGGCCAAATTTGGGGTTTGGAGGAAGGAGTTTGGGGGGCCAGGGGGCAAAATTTGGGGATTGGGTGGAGGATTTGGGGGGAGGTTTTTGAGCTTTGGGGGCAGGATTTGGGGGTTGGGAGAAAGATTTGAGGATCTGGGGGCAGAATTTGGGATTTGAGGAGAAGATTTTGGGAGTTTAGGGGGAGGATTTGGGGTTTGGGGGCAGAACTTGGTTTCTCCCATGTCCGCCGAGCTCCTCCAGAGCAGACGAATTCCACCTCCGAGCAGCCCAGAGCGGCCTCCTGCAGAGCAGACAAGTTCAACCTCCGAGCTGCCAGAGCGGAGTCCTCCAGAGCAGAGGAGTCGCATTTTCCCTCATCAGCGAGCGCGGCCGGAGCGGCCCCGCGGGGCCGGAACTTCCGGGAAGCGGCGGCGGCGGGAGGATTCGAACATGGCCGCGGCCGCCGCCGCCTCCTCCCGGCGCCGCCGCCGCCCCCGCGGCCACCCCAACCCGCTGTTCGCCCGCTGGCTGCGCGAGTGGCGGGACGAGGCGCAGGGCACCTGGGCCAGGGGCACCTACGAGAGGGTGGGTGTGGGGGGGGAGGGTCCCTGGGTGCTCAGGGGGGCGATTTTTGGGTGCCCGGGTGTGTTTAGGGTTCCCAGGTGTGTTTTGGGGTTCCCAGGGGGGCGGGTTTGAGGTGCCTAGGTAGGTTTTGGGGTCTCCAGGTGAGTTTTGGGGTCTCCAGGTGAGTTTTGGGGTCCCCGAGTGGATTTAGGGTCCCCAGGTGGGCGATTCTGGGGTGCCCACGTGAGTTTTGGGGTGCCCAGGTTGGATTTAGGGTGCCCAGGTGGGCGATTTTGGGGTGCTCAGGTGTGATTTAGGGTTCCCACGGGTGTTTTGAGGTACCCGGTTGGATTTGGAGGTTTCTGGGTGGGGCTTTGGGGTGTCCAGGTGAGTTTTGGGGTCTCTGGGCAGGTCTGGGGTCTCTACGTGTGGGACTTTGGGTACCCCAGGTGTATCCCAGGTGTATCCCAGGTGTATTTTGGATACCCCAGATGTATCCCAGGTGTATTTGGGTTTTCCCAGGTGTATCCCAGGTGTATTTGGGGTTCCCCAGGTGTATCCCAGGTGTGTTTCCCCCCAGGCCCTGCGCTCTCTCTCCCGGTTCCCGCTCCCGCTCCGTTCCGGCCGCGCCGCCGCCATCTTGCAGCACTTTGGCCCCGCCCTCTGCGCCCGCCTCGACCAACGGCTGAGCCAGCACCGCCGGGGTAGGCGGGGCCTAAAGGGGCGGGGCAGAGAGTGGGTGGGGTCTGTTGATGGGTGGGGCTATGAAGGGTGTGGTCTGGGGGCGTGGCTTGACTGAGCCCCACTCCTTCCCATTACAAGGTAGGGGGGTGTAGCCTAGAAGGGTGGTGCTCTGGTGGGCGGGGCTTTATGGGAGGTGCGTCAGAAAGGGGTGGAGCTAAGATAGGGTGGGGCTTTGTTGGTGGGTGGGGGCCTGATGAGGCTGGTTTGCATTCTAATTTGCATATCATTTGCATCCCACAGAACAGGGTCTCCCTGACACGCCCCCTCAGCAGGGGCGGTGCCCAGACCCGCCCCCAGCCCCACCCACGGTGAGTTCTGTCCTCACCCGTCCCCCCACCCAGGACCCCTCCATTGATCCCCATTGGGGGGGAGGGGCAGAGGAAGCCCCGCCCCAATCTCTGCCCCTCCCCCTTCCTCCAGAACCGCCCCCGCCAGTACCGGCCCCTCCCCCGCTCCAGAGGCCACGCCCTCCTGCTGGTCCTGAGCCAGGTGAGGGGGAGGGGACACACCTGGGGGGTGGGGGAGGGGTCCAGACCCTGCCCCTCCCCCTACTCACCCTAAGCACCTCCCCCAGAGCCCAGAGCCCCTCCCAGAGGCGGAGCTTCTGCAGCAGGCCCAGCCCCTCTGTGACCACACCCTGACCCCAGTGAGTGGACAGGAGGGGACCCCAGCGCCCTTCCCCCACCCTGGCACCGCCCAAAGGTGATGGGGGCGGGGCTGACCCCCTGTCCCCTCCCCCACAGGCAGCTCTGGGTCCCCTCCTGCGCCGGGGGCTCGTGCAGAGGAGCAGCCGCCCCCCCAGGTAGGGCTGAGACCCCCAGACTCACCTGGGGACCCCCCAGGACCCCCCTCATTTCCCCCCTTCCCTCCCCAGGTACGCTCTGACCCCGCGGGGGCGGAGCCTCGCCGAGGCCCCGCCCCCCGGCCGGGTGTGCCCGCAGCGCCCCCTGGCGGAGCAGGACGAGAACTGCGCCCCGCCCCCCCCACGTGGAGTTTGGGGGGCCAGGGACACTTTGGGGGGATTTGGGGACACTTGGGGATACTTTGGGGGGGCTTGAGGCACCTGGGGGGTTGTCCCAGCCCTGGAGGTGACTTTGGGGTGACTTTGGGGTCCCCCAGGTGCGACCCCGAGCAGGAATTTGAGCTCAGACCTGGCGAGTTCGAGATCGTGCTGTGCGCAGACGTCACCGAGGCCAACGGGTGACTGTCACCCTGTCCCTGCCACCCTGTCCCTGTCACCCCCTGTGTCCCTGTGCCCCCCCCCGTGTCCCTGTCACCCTGTCCCTGCCACCCTGTCCCCTGTCACCCTCTGTGTCCCTGTGCCCCCCCCCGTGTCCCTGTCACCCTCCATGTCCCCTCCCTGTCCCCGCAGCCCCTCCGGGGGGGTCCCGGCCCTGCTCCGTTCCCAGGGGGGGTCCCGGTGCTGCTGCGGCGCCTCCACGTCGGCGACTTCCTGTGGGTGGCGCGTGAGAAGGACCCGCCCACAGGTGGGTGTGGCCGAGGGGGCGGGGCATCTGTGGGGCGGGGCTTAAAGTGACCACACCCCAGGGGCTGGGTGTGGCACCTGGAGTGGGTGGGGCAGTTTGGTGGGTGTGGTCATTGCTCATGGGTGTGGCCAGCTGATCGCCACGCCCCCCAAGCAGCGCAGCCATTGGTTGGGTGTGGCCACAGGGGGTGCGGTCATGTCCAGACCACACCCATAGACTGAGGGTGTGGCCATGGTGATGGGTGGGTGTGGTCGGATGGGGTGTGGCATTGGGGGTGTGGCCATAGTGATGGTGGCTGTGGCCAGGTGTGATGGGGCGTGGCATTGGGGGTGTGGCCATGGTGATTGTGGGTGTGGTCAGATGTGATGGGTGTGGCACTGGGGGTGTGGCCACAGTGATTGTGGGTGTGGTCAGATGTTATGAGGGGGTGACCTCACCTGGGTGGGGTCACATGCTGGCTCAGCCCCCACCTGGTGGGTGTGGCCAAGGACAAACCACGCCCCCATGGAGGCCATGATATGTGGGCGGGGGCCTGGCATTGACCCCACCCTTTGGTGAAGGGCGGTGCATGGGGTGGTGGGCGCGGCTCTGAGTGGGCGTGGCCGTGTGTGTGACCCCGCCCAGGCCACGCCCCCCGGGAGCTGGCGCTGGACGTGGTGGTGGAGCGGAAATCGGCGGCGGATCTGGGGAACAGCATCCGGGGACGGGCGGTACCGGAGCAGAAGGTGGGGCCGGGAACTGGGGGGGACTGGGAATGAATGGAACAAACTGGAAAGGGACCTGGGAGCCACTGGGTGGGACTGGGAAGGGATTGGGAATTAATGGGGAGGACTGGGAGGGAACTGGGATTAACTGGGAGGGACTGGGGGGGATTGAGATGGACTGAGGGGCACTGGGGTAACTGGGAGAGATGGGGGGCACTGGAGGGCACTGGGAGGGACTGGGGGGTGGTGGGGTAACTGGGATGGACTGGTTGAACTAGGAGGGACTGGTTTGACTGGGATGGACTGGGGTAACTCGGGGCACTGAGATGGACAGTGGGTAACTGGGAGGGACTGGTTGAACTGGGATGGACTGTGGGTAACTGGGGTGGACTGGGGGCACTGGGATGGACTCATTGAACTGGGAGGGACTGGTTTGACTGGGATGGACTGTGGGTAACTGGGATGGACTCATGGTAACTGGGGTGGACTGGGGGGCACTGGGATGGACTCATTGAACTGGGAGGGACTGGTTTGACTGGGATGGACTGTGGGTAACTGGGATGGACTCATTGAACTGGGAGGGACTGGTTAAACTGGGACCCCCCTCCCGTCCCAGTTCCGGCTG